TGATGCTAGTCATTGCCTCATAGTCTTTTGCGACATGATCAATACACAATTTCAGAAAAGTGTCAAGAGAATTAGGAGTGACAATGGTGGTGAATTCGTCTCGAATCAAATGGTGAAATTTTATGAAGACAATAGAATCGTCCATGAAACCTCATGTATCCACATGCCTTAACAAAACGACGTTGTGGAGAGAAAACATAAACACCTACTTGAAGTTGCAAGAGCATTGAGATTTGAGGCAAATCTACCCATTAAAACTTTTTTTTGGGGGGGTGGGGGGGGGAGTGTATCTTAACTGCTACTTACATCATCAATAGACTTCCGTCTAAATTCATAAAGAACAAGACTCCATATGAAATCTTACTAAATTGAAAACCTCAGTATGACCACACGAGAGTTTTTGGGTGCTTGGTCTATGCTAAGGAAAACAAAGCCTTAAAGGACAAGTTTGAAGAAAGGGGGAGACCTTGCGTCTTCTTAGGCTACCCACAAAGACAAAAAGGCTATCAGATGTATGACTTCAAGGATAAAAGAACTGTTGTATCAAGATATGTGAAGTTTGTTGAACATCATTACCCTTTCAAGACCATTGATAAAAATCCATGTCGAAACACAACTAAGCATGTTGATCCCAAGCCATCTTTGTGGTCGGACCTAACTGACCTCGAGTAGTCTTACACTGCCAAAACCACTGCAGAAAATCAACAGCCCAACAGGGACGACCAGCAGCCCATTAGCGACGATCAACAGTCCATTAGCGACGACCAGGCTCATCAAGACACAAATGAACAAAGTGATACCAATTATCGACGACGATCTGATGGTACATGAAGTATGCCTCGAAATTTTGGTGAATATGAAGTCACTTTACCACCTTCCATAGACCATTCTCTCCCCGGGGCTACTTCAACGACCTCAATGGTACATCCTTTATCTAATTTTGTGTCTTATGGAAATTTTACTAACACTCACAAAGCTTTCTTGACTGCCATCTCATCTCAAGATGAGCCCAACCACTACTCACATGCAACAAAATATTCCAAGTGTAGAGAAGCCATGAAAAATGAAATAATGACTCTTGAAAGCAACAACACTTGGATATTGATGTATTTGCCTCCCGGGAAGAAACCTATTGATTCCAAATGGGTTTATAAAATTAAATACAAAACAACCGGGGAAGTGGAACGATATAAATCAAGGCTTGTAGAAAAGGGCTTCATATAAATAGAAGGAGTTGATTTTCATGAAACGTTCTCCCCTGTTGCCAAACTAGTAACAGTGCGTATGATTCTGGCTGTAGTAGTACAAAGAAAATGGAGTGTTCATCAACTAGACGTCAACAATGCCTTTTTGCATGGAGACCTTCATGAAGAAGTTTATATGAAAATTCCTCAATGCTTTGCAAAGGCCGGTGAGACTCGTGCTTGTGAACTTCAAAAGTCGTTATATGGCCTTCGTTAAGCTTTTAGAAATTGGTACAACAAATTTACAGAAGCACTTCTTGCCATTGGTTTTAGACACTCCAAAGCTGATCATTCCCTTTTTATTCTTAAGACTCAAAACATTTATATTGATGCTCTCATCCATGTAGATGATGTTATTATCTTGGGAAATAACAATGATCGTATTGCTCAAATTAAGACGTATCTGGATTATGAATTCAACATCAAAGACTTGGGCCCGTTAAAGTATTTTATTGGTGTCGAAGCAACACGGACTCCAAAAGGAATCGTGCTCAGCCAACTGAAGTACACTTTGGATATTCTTGCTGATTGTGGTCTTCATGGTTGTCGCACAAGTTCATTTCCCATGGAACAAAACATTTGTCTTGATGATGCTGACAAAACACCTCTTGCTGATGCCAACCATTTCCGTTGTCTCATTGGACGTCTTTTATACTTACATGTCACTCGACCCGACATCACCCTCGTAGTCAATACCTTGAGCCAGTTCGTCTCTGCTCCTCGACAACTCCATTTTGATGCTGCTATTTGCATTCTGCGCTATCTCAAAGCTATGTCGGGACAAGGGATTTTTCTGCCTCCACCGAGAATCTTACTTTAAAAGCCTACTGTGATTCTGACTGGCTTGGTTGCCCACTCACTAGACGTTCCAAAACTGGTTATTTTATTACTTTGGGTGGTGCTCCTATTTCCTGGAAAACAAAGAAACAATCTGTTGTTTCCACGTCATCTGCAGAGGCTGAGTATCGAGCTATGGCTTCTACTATCAGTGATATCTTATGGCTTCGTTGGTTGTTGAAAGACTTAGAAGCACCGCAATCAGATCCAACTCCTCTTTACTGTGATAATCAAGCAGCAAGACATATTGTCAATAACCCTGTCTTCCATGAGCGTACTAAACATGTCGAGATGGATTGTCTCTTTGTACGTTAACGTATCGAGTCTCGTCAAATTCAAACATGTGTCATCAGCTCCAATGACCAGGTTGCGGATATCTTTACCAAACCTCTTGGTACTGACAGGTTTCGTTATCTACTTACCAAGTTGGGCGTTCGCAACTTTCACGCTCCAACTTAAGGGGGGAGTAAATGAGTTATCGGATATTTATATATATATATATATATATATATATATATATATATATATATATATATATATATATATATATATATAAAGTCTTTATCTTATTTCCTAAGTTTCCTCATTTGTTTCCTAGTTAGTTTTTTCTAGGCTTATAAGTACTCTTGGCTTCTATAATCTTTTTCCAGTCAATCAATTATCAATAAAAATTTAGAACCCGTATTGGATTTCTTCAAAAAACGTTAATTTTTAGAAAAATAGTAGCATAAAAGAATAAAAATTAAGATAGATTACAAATTGAAGACAAAACTTACACTCCGTTCCCAAGTTCAACTTAACGAGAGAAAAGATGGGTTTATGTAGAAAAGTCTCATTATTTTAGGAAAAATTTTAATAAAGTGTTAAAAGTTTTTTTTTTAACAGAAAAGTCTCGATTATTTAATAATTTGCTCAAATTAACGAAAAAGTCGTTTTTTATATTTAAACATGAAATGAAAGATTATGTGATTTTGTCAAAATAAGCTGTCAAAAAAAAACTTTTAAGACTTTATCAAAAAATATCCTAAAATAATAGGACTTTTCATCTTAACTTCTCATTTCCACTCATTTTCTTTTTTTCTCGGGATTTATGCGGAAAAGTTAAGAAAAAATAAATAATTAATTAATTTTTTTTTTCTCAAACTCGAAACACAAAAGAAAATTTTATTTATTTATTTATTTTCTTATTTTCTCTACTTACTTACTTTCTTTCTTTCTTTTCTTTAATTTCTTTTCTTTGTTTAAACTTGAAACTAGGCGTTAAAGAATTCTATAGCATTAACCCATCGAATTAAAACTGTCGTATATATTTTCTTTGAAGACAAAATTGCAAAAATGGTCCCTGTGGTTGGCAAAATTCTATAGTTTTGGTCCAAAACGAAATGTTGGTGCACCACTGGTCCAATTTTAGATACCTTGTGTGGTTTTGGTCCCTATGGTTGTATATTCTTGTGTTTTTGGTCCACATCCCACCTAAAATGACTAATATGCCCCTTAAATAATTATATTTTAATTTCCTTTATTTATTTTCTTATTCTTATAATAAAATGAAAACAAAAACAAAATAAACCCACCACTCTCTCTCTCTCTCTCTCTCTCTCTCTCTCTCTCTCTCTCTCTCTCTCTCTCTCTCTCTCTCTCTCTCTCTCAACAAAAGGAAACGTGTTCTTCTTCCTCAAATAAAGCTGTCAAATGAAACACCCAAACACCCTAAAAATTTTGAGGCTGTTCTTCATTCATCTTTGATCACCTATAAAGAACACACACCATTAGAGTGGCTGATTACCTGTGAAATCAAGAAAATGGCACCCTTTTCCCCATTTCCATTGCTGTTAATTAAAACAAAGCTGGAAAAAAATTTCTTACCTTTTTTCCTTGATTTTCGGTCAGTTTCTTCGTCCTCTGTCATGAACCACCGGCCGTAGTGGTGCTTCGGTGAGCCATCGAGACATCAGCCTCACCTCTCGCATATCTCTTCTTCTCCCGTCAAAGCAAACGCCACCGAACCACCTGCGATGTCGTGCTTCTCGTCTGAACTCTTTTTTGGCCTCCTTCCCTTCGAAACCCCTAGCCACACCGAGAGGCGGCGATTTCTCTTACCGATGAACGATAAGAGGCGACGGCCTCTTGTGTTGCTCGCCCCTACTTGCGAATTCGGCCACTGGACCATCGATCGACCTTGGGGCTGTTCCCATTCGTATTTCTTTTTCTCCATCGGACGAGGATCGAACTCCTCTTCCTCCCAATCGATTCTGCCTACGTTCTTCTCTTCGTGTTCCCTTCATCTGCACTCGTTCATTTGCGTCCGGTGATTTCTTGGTAGAGACGGAGGTGCTTGCAGGTGGTGATGGCGAATAATGGTGGGACTCGTTTATTTGTGTGTGTGTTTAAGAAGACAAAGTTAAAGAACCCAGATGAAGATTTATTTAGAGAGAGAGATGTGTGTGTCTGTGTGTAAGAGAGAGTGAACTTGATGGTGGTGGGTTTTTTTTTATTTTGAACAAAAATAGATAATAAAAAAATGAAAAAACAAAGTATAAGGGCATAATGGTCTTTTTAAGTAGATAGGGACCAAAAACAATAGAAATATCCAATTTTGAACTAATGGTGCACCAACATTTCGTTTTGGACCAAAACTACAAAATTTTGACAATCACATGGACCATTTTTGCAATTTTGTCTTCTTTGAAAAACATAGACCGAAATGAAACAGATAGGTCATCACGCAACAAGGATATACCCTGAGTGAGTAATTAACTTGTTTACTGATCAAGTGGTTGCGTCAAGGATCAACCCAGAACCTTTAAACTTCTCATTCGTAATTTCAACGATGCGTTGCTTCATCTCCACGCTCAGATAGTTTTTCCAATCTCCGATTTCGCCTTTCCTAAAAAAAAGCCGATTCTCCACCTCGAACACCTAACCGAATTTCACCACACCTTTCTTGTTCACCTCCAGATTGCTCAAATTTTCGAAGCTACAAAGCTCCACAATTTTCTCCACCACCCCCTTCTCCAGTTCCTCCGCCGTGAATGGCTTCCCCATGAACGCCGCCAACTTCCTCAGCGCCACCTCCGGCTGCTTCATCATTTCCTCGTACTTCAAGAACAGAATCTTGTCCGGAGATTCCAGGCTCGCCCTCCAGTATGACAGAACATGTTCTCAAAATGGTCCGAAGTCCGAAATCCCTTGACAGAAAAGCTCAAACGCTTCATCCAACGAGAAGGGAGGCAGATCTTTCGATCTTTGATTGCTCATGAAATGCCATTTTGAAATCAAAACGTCTTTTGGGTCCCTACAGATGTAGACGAACTTGCAGGAAGTAATGCACGGTGGCAAGAGGGTGCGAGGGTAGTGAGTTGCGAACATTCGGGGAGCAGGCAAGTGGGTGAAATCGGTAGGGGGGTAGCTTTCGATGTCGAGGTAAGGGAAGGCACCCTGTGGGCCATGGTGGTGTAAAGGGTGGTCGGAGAGGGTGTAGCGGTGGCGGTTAATGGTAGCGAACATGAGGGCTTTGAGCCAGGTGGTTCCGGTCTTCATGAAGGAGGCTAAAAAGATGTCGGTGGGTTGAGATTTGAAGTAGATGTGAAGAAGCAAGTGGTTTTTGATGTAGTAGGGGTGAAACCAGAAGCCATTGTAGTTGTAGAGGTGTTTCTCCATCCATCCATTGCCTTTGGGTACTGTTTCTATCAGGTGTTTGTGCTCCTCGCAGATTTTATTGTAGTCTGCGTCTTCTTTTGATTCTGGTTTTGTGATAGGAGGCGGAGAAGTCGACATGATGAAGAAATCGTAGGACAATCGTAGACAGAGTGTCTCAGGGACAAAACTTCTCTTCTTATCCGCCGTTAGCAATTCTGAATAAAATTTTAAAGTAAATTACATAAATGGCCCCTACGGTTGTACAATAGTTACACTTTTTTTCTAACTTTTATAAGTTTGGATTTTATTGTTAAAACATGAAAAAATAAATAATGAAGAGCATGAAAATGCTTATAAACTGAAACCCTTGAAAAACATGATGAAGAGCATGGAAATATTTGGGTATTGACAGGAAAATATGAAAAAATAAATAATGAATAACAAACGAATGGACCATTTTTGTAATTTTCTCACTATCAAACCGATTATATAATAATAGAAATAAAGTATTGTATATTCTCGGATAGATGAGATCATGTGACTAGGCTGTGCCACACCAGTCACCAGTCGGCATTCACAATAATATAATTTAAATTGATTTTTTAGTTGTGTCATACATTAGTTTTTGCAATTGATTTTTATATCAGCCATTCAACATTTTTACAAAAAGTTTTCTAATTCATCAAGTATTATATATATTTTTAATTATTTAAGATCTAAAATTATTTTATATATATATATATATATATATATATATATATATATTTAAAATTTATAATAATTATTGTAAATATATTTATAAATCGTATAAATATTTATTGAGATATAATTTATAAACAATAGAATACTACTAAATCATACATAAGTATATTTCAAAATAAATTTTAATAAAATAGTTTTTTTTTTAAAAGCCGGCCATCTTAGTTGTAGTCTTGCTAAATACTTCTAAGGCTAATAGTGACATCAATCAAATAGACCTATTTAAAGTCCACGCTCTAAAAATAATAATAATTAATATAATAAAATATATGAACATGATTAGTGATTTTTAATTATATATATTTTTTAAAATAATAACATAATATACAAGAACATGATTGGTGATATATAATTATAATATTTTTAAATAATAATAATAATAATAATTAAAATGACCACATTTCATTTTTGTATAAATAAAATTAAGGTTTTGTATAGAAAAATTTTATTAATTTAGGAAATTTTTTGATGAAGTCCTAAAAAAAATTTAAACAGAAAAATCCCGTTTATTAAATATTTTTCTCAAATTAACAAAAAAGTCTTTATTTATTATAATAGAAAATTACAAATTATCGTGTAAAATTAAATAATTGAGACTTTTCTGTTTAAAAGAAAAATATGACTTTATCAAAAAAAAAAAATTCAAAATAATGAAAATTTTATACATAAAAGCCTATAAAATTAACTATCCTTTTGTAAACTAAATGATCTTAGATTTTGATAAAAAAAAATTGAACTTTTATTTTAAATTTTAACCAAAAGTTAATTCAAGTTTTTTTAATAAAATTTATATTTTAGTACGTTTTGACCTCAGACAATGTATTGCATTTTTATGGGAAAAAGATTGATCAACATTTAAAACATTTAGTATTTATTGTCTAAACCGCCAAAAATAATGGTTAATTTATAAAATGAAGATGACACTTTATCAACCAAAATTTGATTCTTTGGACATGAAATCGAGGAAAGAAAATACTTTCCTATTAAGGCTAGTGGGTGCGGTGTCACACTTGCTGTAACGACCGGTTTCAGAAAAGATGAAGGATATTAAAGGTATAATATATGTATGTATATATATGTTTGTATAATCGTGTATTTATGTATGTATTGATTTTACCTAAGTTATGAAGTAAATTATTGGTGATAAAACAATGTATATTTCAAGTATTTAGACAATAAGGATAGAGTAGTATAGGTGGTTCAAGATTTAAGGAATGAATGAAAGAAATATACAAAAATTTGAGGCTCACGACGTGAGCATAATGTGTCACGACGTGAGTATGCAAAAACGGGATCGAAGTTATGCAAATGAACAGTGACAACATCATACTTTGATTCCTCACGACGTGAGCATCCAATTCTCACGAAGTGAGAAAGTAGATTGTTAAATATTATTAGTGACGAATCTTATTTTTGTCATGCGAGGAAAGTGTCACGAAAAGTAGCTCACGACATGAGAATAATAGGCTCACGATGTAAGCACGAGCCAGAGGCTTAAATTCATTCTGATTAAGAACAGAACATTACGGATAAAACACCCCAAAACACTAACCCTAAGGTGCGATTTACACACACATAAACTCCCCAAGTGCTATTTCGAAATGATCGAAGGGTTTGAACTTCAATTTGTTGGATTAAGGTAATGCTTATACGTTTTGTTAGGTGCATTTTGTGCACCTTTTGCATACATTTTAGTCCCATTTCATGCATCTATTTAGCATAATTGTTCTTCTTTTTTCTTTCATTTCATCATATTCATGTTAGTCTCTAGAACAACCTTGTTTGCACACTTTCATGTCTTTTTCAGGTAAACCGGAGCTTGGAATGCTCTTTGGGAGGTGCCGGGAAGCATTGGTGAAGATTTCGGGATGATCGGGCGAAGAACGAAAAAGTTGGAAAAATCAAGTTTGGATTCGGAGTCAGAGGGGTACACGGGCCGTGTTGGATTTACATTGTAAAATCAACACGGGCCGTGTTGACCAAAATGGGAGCTGTTGACCATGCTGAACACGGGCCGTGTTGGCTGCTGAACACGGGCCGTGTCAGTTTAGCCTATTTTAACACGGGCCGTGTTCGACCCAAAAACCAACTTTTGGCAGTTTTTCCTATCTTGCATATTACGGGCTGAGGGCCATTTTGACACACACAAAACATTGTTGGATTAATGTCTAAGTCCATAACTATATTTGGTATGTACTTGACCCGACCCGGCATGGTCCATTTGAGTTGCACTTCACCGGCACAATTTATATGGATAGTCTTTTGAGAATAGTATATTTATGATTTATATTAATATATTATAAGTTCTAATATATTAATATGGAATCATATTATTTAATTAGTATTGATCAAAAATTAATTTAGAATTAATTAAGTGATCAAAAAGAACTAATTAAATATGGACTCTTATATATATGGAATGGGCCAAGTTCATTTAGGTTGGGCTAAGCTTTCATGGATGGTCCATGGAGCTTTTAACCCATGGATCCTATGTAAATGAAAGGTCATGGGTATTAGGGTTTCATGGATGTAACCCTAATCCTCCATAATATATAAAGGGGTCATTGGCTCATAAAATTGGCACAAGTGTGTGAAAATAAGAGTGGGTCGATTTTAGTGTGCATACATATTCTCTCAAGTTCTTCCAAGGTGTTTTGGTGATTTGTGATTCCATTTGAGGCTTCCACACTATTGGGGCTAAGCTCTTAAAGCTTGAAGACATCAAGCTACATCAAAAGGTATGTCATCTAACTAGAACTTTGTAGTATAGGTGCTTCATAATATGCTAGTTAGGATGAAACCTTGGAATAGTTAATATTTGCATGTATAATAGAGAAAACATAGATCCAAGGTTTATAGGGTTGCATGTACACCATAGGAGTGTTAGAATGCTCAAAACCCAACAGTGGTATCAGAGCCATGGGTTGTTTTCTGTTATATTGATGCAAATGTTTTATTTTCAAGTTGGAAAAAAAAGGAAAAAAAAACATGACGTTTGTCAAATTTTAAGATAATTACTTGTTTTGTGAAAAACGAATTATTTGTAAAATTTGAATCATTTGTTATATGAGTTGAATTAGGTCAAATTTAGTAAAAGATAAAATGATATGATTATTTTATTAGTTTTTAAAAGTTTGATCTAAATGTTTAAGGAGTTGCATATTTTGTCATAAAATTTGGAGCTCAAAAGTTTTTTTTAAAGTTGTGATCTTAAGGGTTTTGAAACTTCCATAAGTTATGGATATGAAAGTTTTTTTTTTTAAAAAAAAAATTTGATTCAAAGTTTTTATGGAGTTACAAAATTTGGTGTTAATGTTTTAAAGAATTCCATAACTTGTTCTTAAGTTATGGAACATGGAAAATTTCATCATAAAACACCATTAATTCCATAAGTTATGGAATCCAAAGGTTTTCAAGAATTACAAAACTTGCCCTCAAGTTTTGGGATTTGAGAAAAGTTTTTTATGAAAAAAAGAATTGAATTCTAAAACTCTTGGGTTCATAACTTAAACAATTAATTAAATGGTTTTAATTTTGAGTTTAATAATTGGAATTATGATGTTTTGTTGAATAGTTCAAATTAATTCTTATGGACTTTATTAATAGTTAATTAAAGCGTTTAATTAAAAGAGTATTATTAATCCATAAATATATGGTTTGAGTTTAATTAATAGATTAAACCACAAAGTATTTTAAATGTCTAAAATACACCCTTATACTATTATAATATTAAAAGTTTAATATATTATATGTATAAGAGCAAGTCGTCTTACCATTAGTAGGCCTCATTCACGAAGCTGGTCTATAAGGGGGGTATAAGGTTACTGCCTATAAAATGGCAGTTTAATGGGTGTCCACTCTCACTCACCGCTTCCTTGACCGGTGGAGGGTCGTTAGCCGAACAGGTAGGACAAGGACTATAATTCTCCCTTCATTATAAGTATAATGATAAATACTAAGTAACTAAACACTTATAAATTCCCAATCTTAGTTACTTAGGAAAATGTGAATAAGGTGCTAATCCATGAAATTACACTTTGCACTTTGTTTAAGCTGTTAGTGGAGCGTGTGTGGTTAACCGGCACACTAGCTTAATTTAACAAGGTAGGCAAAGGGTAACTTAATGTTTATCATAGTATCGATGGAGCGTGTGTGGTTAACCGGCACATCGATTGAGGGGTAAATATTAAGGGTACCAAGTATATTTGCATGGTTATTCACACCTTGTTTTGTGATCCTCGGCATCCCAGTCACAAAACCTGAAGGGCACACTCGAGATTGAAACATGCCTTTGAAAAGTTCAATGAATCTCAAAAGAATCTAGGAGTTTCAAAACCAATTAAAACCTAATAATACATTTCGTTTATCTTGGTGGAAAT